TATAGGTGTAGGGCTGTGTACTTGCATGGGACCAAGAAGAATAGAATGAAACCCACTCACTCAGTGCTCAGTGGGGAGCTGAGTGGGGCATGGTTAATGTGGACAGGGAGGTGAAGGAAGGGAGATTTTTGAGAGACTTTTACGTGAATCTTTTACAAGGAGACTGTAGTCAGGTATGGCCTGTGTGGTTAATAAACCAAGGTGATGAAAATACTAACACTGGACACCTCCCACGGGGCGATGGTAGGCCCGATGGGGTGCTGAGGTCTTCTGGGGTTGCCTGATCAAAGAGGGGAGCCCACGCATCTTCAGGGAGAGCAGACGGGCCTACTCCACCCTGCTCAATTGATCGCAGCTCTCAGTGGTTAGGAGAGATGATCAATTCCAGGAGTAGCCCGAGCTCCAGTGTGAGAGAAAGCGAAAGTAAATAATTTCTCAAACTAAACAGACTAAATTAAATGCATTTTTCATTCATTAGAAAAGAGAGCAGGTCCTCCTTTGTTTTATTAATATCTTTAAGCAGAGTATGGATTTTTGTCTTTCTTGGCCTCTTTCTCTTGTTCCCACTGGCCCATGCTGTCTTTTTATTTGAATTATCTGTTTATTATATTAGGTTAAGAACCCAAAGGCCATTTTGCCTGGGACACACTATAAATACCCATTATCACCGTTATCTATTATTGAACTGATGAAGAGAGACAATTTATGGAGAAATTAGATTATCTCAGTTTTTTTTTTATAATCTATTTTACTATAGTCTAAAGATTACATATACAGTAAAGAAAATGAACCAAACCTTCCAGTTGGTAGTTCCTGCAGTTCCATCTACCCGGCTGTGATATTAGGGGGAACCAAAATGTGTAAGCCAATATATTTATGTCAGCATGCTTCCCCCCCCTCCCCATTATCACACACCTATTTCATTCATCATCTTGACAGTTTGCACAAGCAAACTGTCCTAATTTTTTTCAAGAGCTCTTTTCACAAATTGAGTGTGATGTAGAATTAATCATACCCGTTAGGCAGGATTGGAGGACTTTCATCCCTGCAGGGCATTCCTACCCCTCAGCCCTCGGAGGGCTTCCTTCCACTTCTGCTGCCCGCCCTCATCCCACAGGGCCTAGGGTTCTCATCTGCTTTCAATCCAGAGAAGTTTACTCTTACTTCTGGGTTGAAAATACCCTTTTAGTGTGCTGCAGCGTTCCCTGCTTTCTTCCCAGCCAAATCTCCTACACTTAACTGTTCTTTTGTCTTCTTAGGAAGCCTCTCCTTGACCATGTCTCTCCCTTCCTATACTGCCCTCCTATCTCTAAGAAGAAAAGATGGAAACAAAGAAATGTTAAAACATCAGCTTCAAATAGAAAGTGCTGCTTATGACCCCAAAGGAGCCGCTGGTGCCTTACAGTTAAGTGCCTGCATTTCATTCAGTTTTGTAGAACTGTAGGGTGAGAAGGGTACAGGAGAGGGGTCCAATAGAGAAAGCTGGTACAATTTATTTATTTTGCTGTAGGCTTAGGACTTGGGACTTTTGTATATGAATCTATGCATTTATGCCAACTAGTATTTTACACACACGGAGGAGAAAAATTCTTTTTAATTGCAGTTAAGCACTTATGCTTAAAATTCCATCTCTGAACCCCTATTCTGTTTTTTTCTTCTTTCTTGTTACAAGAGAACAATGTGAAAACTGTAGCCCAGACCTGAAATGGTGAAGATGCTGTTAGATAAATATGTACTTCTTTGCTTAGCTGCACTTTGAAAATTATATAGCGGCTGACAGTTCAGTGGAAAGAGTAGTATTTATATCTCGAAAGCGCACAGCAGCCCTGACAAATATGAGTTACATAACCCTAATGATAGCTGTTCTCACACACACCAAGTTGCTTCAAAGGAGAGAAAGTTCCGAACTTGTTCTTATGCACACCAGCTCTCAGGAATTGCATCTTAAGTGTAATTCTCAGCCTCGACTTTCAAGAGCATGAAACCCTCACTTCTTTCATGAAGGAGCTTTGAAGTGGAAATCAGAAACACATGCTCTGGTCTTGACTCAGTGGCCCACCAGCTCCTACATAACCACAAATAAGAATGTCCAGAGGAGTCACATTCAAGGAGCTCACAGCCTGCTGGGGAGATAAAATATTTTGTGGATCTTAACGCAGGAAAGAAAGATAGGTGATGGAACAGGAGGAGAGCAAGGAGGGTAATGGAGGAGGGGAGAAGGGAGAGGCTATTATAGCTCAGGTGTGAGTTAGATTGTTGTAAGTTGTGTGTGACAGACATCTTGTGTCAGTCTGAGAGAGCCCGGCACATAGTAGGTGTTGAATAAATTCTGATTGAGTAAGTGAAAGTGAGACATATGATCAACACCGTCTCTGTGTGACCCCCAAGTGTGACAGAAAATGAATAATGGGCCACCCCTTTCAGTGGGTGTTACTTGGCAGACAGAAGGAGGAAAGGAAGCACTTGAGAGGCCTGACAAGTTGTCACAGACCATAACAAAGCTCTGCCCTGAGTTCCAGATGTACCCCACAGTAGCCGTTATGCTCTCTTGGTGAAGTTCCTGGGGTGGGAAGTGGGAAAGGGGCTTTGGCACAAGAGGGACCTAGATTCAGATGTGAGTTCTGATACTTGTTAGTGCTCTGTGCTTCAGACTCTTCATGGGTAAACTGAGAAAATTACTTATCTGAACAAATTATATAACAACTCGCTAAGATGATTCTATCATTCTTATTAGCTTTGTGATTAGCTTCCATTTTTCTCATCTGCAAAATGGGAATTAAAGTGGCAGGTACCTTGAAGAGATGGGGGGAGAAACCGTATGCAAAATGCTCTGCTAGGTAGTAAATGCCTGATCCATCTGGCCTGGTAGAGGTAGCATACCAACAATCAGTTTATATCTTGGCAGGTATGAATCACGTTTACATGATTTTATACATATCTACCCAGTGATTCTGTAGTCCACATTACTTATTTGTCTTAAGTGTTATTAAAACTCCTAGTTGGATATGGACTCTTATTTCTCCACTGCGTGGAGGAGAAAATCCAGTTCCAAGAGGTGGATGATGAACTGAAGGCGATACTTCAGTGACAGCAGAGTCAGGCAGATTCCTGGATCCAAGTCCAGGAGCAGATTCTCTAAGAGCCCCACAGCCTTCCTACCTCAGTGTCCTAGGGCTTCAGGGGGTGTTGGTATCATGTCCACCATGTGTTGGTCATGTCATGGAAAGAACCAGATGGAATCCTGACTCTGCCTTTTGTTACCTGTGTGTTTCCAGGAAAGTCACTTTAAATATTTCTAAGCATTGGTTTGCTTATCTAGAAAACAGGATTTGTATTATTTATCTCATATACAAGATCAAGTGAGATCAAACCAAATGAAAAAACAAATGTCAAGGACTTGTCATTAGAAACATCATGAAAGAACTCGTATCCTGTGTCTTACTTGGGAAAGCCCTGGCACGAGAGATCTTTGAGTCTGGTATTGCCCTCAGGGCTCACAGAATGCTGTTCTAACAGGTGTCAGGTGGACAAAGGCATTAGGTGGACAAAGGTATTGTGGGCCAATACACTTGGGAATATCAGGTGAAACAAGACTGAATAAGGTTCTTTTCTGCGGAACTGAAGTTCTGTAGAACTTCCATAGGGTAGTAGATGACATGAATCCCCTGGAGTGAAATGAACTAGGAGCATTTCTTAGGTTTATCTAACCATGGGACCCTCTTTAGCAGACCAAGTCATGTGACTGGTGTTCCACAGAAGCACAAAGTTTGTGCTGGTTGAATCCAGCATCTTCCTTTGATGGATACAGGAGCTACAGCCAAAGGCTCACTCAGAGGATCAGCAGCAGGACCAGGACCAGGACCCGCCCAGCTCGTCTGACGTCACGGTTTGCCCTGTATTCACACCCCTGAGTGTAAAACAGTTCCTTTTTGCAGCTGCTCCAGTGCCTGTTGCTGGTCCTAAGGGGGTGATTGAGGCTCAAAAAATGATACTCCAAAGGATGGTTTTGGTATGCTCAGTGCTTTGAACTCAAGGAGAGCCAAGGTCTCTGGCCTCCTCCTGCTCCCCGCTCCTGTCTCTCATCCCTCTTTCCTTACAGTTCCCTTGGACCTTCTAGAATACTAAGCTACAGGAAGAAAAACTGAAGTCGACACCACACTCCCTGCCCACGTGAACTTTGTTCCAGGCACTTGTCTTTGGGCCCATTCCTCTCCCCTAAAAGATCATTTATTCTTCCTCTGAAACTGTCTACAGTGCCCACTCCCCTCTCCACTATAAAGAAAGTATTTAAGCTGTAACCATCTGGTCCTTCTTTGAATTTCATGCTTTGTGCGACTCCTACTTGCCTGCATGAGAATAAACTTGCACCTTTTCTCCTGTTAATCTATCTCTTGTCAGTTGGTTTTATGGATTCAGATTATTAAACTTCAGGACCTGGAAAGGAAGCTCCTTTCACCTCTGCAAGATCAAGGTATGGAATGAAGTCTCTAGATAGGACAGGGGAAGAAAGTAATCCTGAAGAAATCTGGTCATAGCACATATAAGAATTGACAGGATCAGGGTTGGGGACTGAGTAGCAACAGCAGTGGAACAGGCCAACGAATCCCAAGAGTGGCCGTGAAAATAAGAGACAACAGTGTGTTTGCAAACAGTATTCATCTAAAGGGGCAAAGGGGAAGGCTGCCCACTAATGTCACCAACGGCAGCCCAGTCACATAGCCAGTTGCAGCCTGTCCATATTTTATTGAGATGAGCAATTACATGTCCTGTAATGGCAATGAAGCAATAAAATTTATGTGTTGTCATCTTTAACAAGATTAGACATAACCCTTCTCATAAACGCAATACCGAATGGAGATTTTTAAGAACATAAGTATAGTTAAGGATCCTTGAGTTTATCCCTCATAGTTAATTAAAATCCTCCCCAAGAATTGGCAGTTGATAGATAGGACGTTGAACCTTTGAATCCAGGGAAGGGTGAACTTTGGATTCTTCCATACCTTGCTCAGCCTCGGCTGGCTCCGTGACTCACAACATTTGTACCATATGGATTTCAGAAGAGATGCGAAGGGAGTGACTCCGATTCCTGCCGCAATGCACACGCTCACAGGGTAGTGAAACACGTCCGTCAGAGCGGCTCCAAATGGCCCGTCCACTGCCAGCCTGGAATCACAGAGTGCAGTGCATTTGACCTTGAGAATACCTTGTTCTTGACACAAAACCAGCCACGCCAGTGCTTTCAAAGGTCCTATTTTGTGCTCAAAATCGCCCCATTCAGAGAGCACAGGTTCAGCATGAGGATTTGGGGGCTTGCCTCAGGGGGAGAAACCAGTTAGTCCTGCCCAGGTGCCATCTGGCATCCCCTGCATTAGCGCACACCTCTTCCACCTGGTGAGCTCTGCTTATAGTTCCGAGATGTTTGCTTTGACTCCGAGCATCATGGAGCCCCATGGAAGAAAGAGAAGGATGGAGGTGGTTTATAAGGCTTTTCTTACTTTTCCTAAGGTAATTCTCTCTGCTTACATTGATTTGGTTACATTGTTTTGTCTGTTTGTATCATCTAGTCTAACAGAAATCTTTCATTTGGAATAAATTTACTTTTGAAATAATTTGTCTGTTAGGGAGAACTTCTGAAAATCACTATCTTGGGTAATGCTAACTCCAAATCTGTGATAATTAGGCCAGGGGCAACAAAGATGCTTTGTCTTTGCTTAGCAAATTTTTCTTTATAAGCATAAAGTATATTCATGGAATAAGTAAGATGGTCTTTAACACTGTCCTACATGGACTGGCTCCTTGGATTTATCTCACGGCTCATCACTAGTTCCCCCCGTTGGCTTTTCTTCTATTTCCCTAAATAGACAGGGCTGCCTTCTGCATGTGTTATCTTTTCACCTGGAATACTCTGCCCAGTTCTCCCCATCCCTTTACTTGGTTAAGAGTTACCCTTTCATGAGGTCCCATCCCCAATCATTGTTCACCTGGGGAGTCCCTCTTGTGTCCTAGACTAGATTAACCCCCTTCATATAGTTTAAGCGCCATGTACCCTCGCTTCTCATAGTTAGGATCTTTTCCGTGTGTGTGTGTGTGTGTGTGTGTGTGTGTGCGTGCACGCGTGTACTTGCATGCATGTGTGACTTAATTCCATCTTGATTTCTGGACCCTCAGGTCTATGGAGGTAGGAACCAAGTCTCTCTTTGTTCAGGCATCTCTTTGGGATAGAGGTGCTACATCTCAGCATCTCTCATGCTATCTGGCATGGACCGTTTAATAACATTTGCTGAATCAATTGTACAGGGAATGCTTAAAATATTTCAGTCAGCAGAATGTATTAAATGACCCCAACTATTCCAAAAGTACACATTTACATATGAACAAAGATATGCTAATTAAAAGGTTTCTAAGTTATTCCTAACCATTCCCTAAGGAGAGTCTGTGGAAGGCACCCCAGGTTGGCCCGTTTGGGCTTTGTTATGTGTTCATGAAAGTTCAATTGGATTTATTTAAAAATTTTCCATATTCTAGACTTCCTAATAATTCAAATTAAGTCTCTTCAAGTTAATCTTAATTAATAAGGCTTTATTACATATTGATATATGGAAATGGAAGAATAAAAATAAAATGTCATTAACGGGAAAATGTTAGTATCTTAGCCCACGGTAGATTATTTTACAAATAATTAAAGAAAATTATTTTATAAATAATTAGAAAAAACTGCCTACAGATTACATTGTCTTATTGTTATTATTTTTATAATTAGTAATACTTGGGATTTATTTGATACCGATTTTAAAAAGATATCAATTATACCCAAAGAAGAAGTATGTCCTAAACTCCACAGAAACACATGATAAATTTCTGCATATTTAGAATTGAGAATCCTCCCTCCTGTCTCTGAGAGGTCACGTTCGGATGTTACAGTCCAGGATACCTTGATGCCTTTGGGGACACTTCTAAGTTTGGGGCAATTTTTCTCCTGTCGTACTGAGATCTGTCTTCTGACGTCTCTCGTCTTTTGCCTTCCTGAGAAACACGTACCAGGTCTTTCTCCTTTCCTGTACCTCAGGCCTTTCAGCAGTTGAACACAGCTGTCATGACAACCATTATTTTTTTAGAGGCCCAAATCTCCTCGTTGCTCCAGACCCGTTGCAATTTCAGAATTGGCTTCCTTTGCCCTAATGCTTGTTTTCAAGTTCACTCCGATATCCCTCCTTGATTCCAAATCCTGGTTTCGAATAATGCGCAACAGGAAAAGAGTCATCTTCCCGGCCTCTGTGTCCTGCTGGGTCCTTGCTGTGTATGGTCTGCAGCAAGCCCCCTGCCACCATCAGCCTCCATCCCCTGCCTTTGAAGTCTTCCCATCCAACCATTACTTTCATGGTCATCTCTGTGGTGCTCTTGCTTCCTACTTTGCAAATATTAATCATAGCTAATTTTTTTGAGCACTTACCATGTGCTGCCATGAATCATGACAAAGCTTTTATAAAGAACCCCATGGCTAATTCTAAACCAAGCCTTGAGTACTGCTTTTATCATCTTCACGGTAAGATGAGGAAACCGAGGCAGGGAGCTCCACACATTCTCCAAGATCATGCACAAAGTTGGACTTGAACCCAGGCCCTCTGAGGCTGGAGCCCTGGTTCTGGGGAACAGGTGAAACGGCTGGGAACTCCAGCATCAACTCTGAGGAATCCTCCCTTTTACTTCAGGAGGCGTGGCCTCCTCGGCCCCACGTTGTCCCCCTTTCCGGGGCTGAGGGGAAGGAGCGCTCTGCTCTTGCTAGCCTTGATTCTCCTCCTGTGTCCCCACTCACCCTTTTCCTCTCGCTTTCGTGGGCTGGGTGAAGACCTTTCAGGGTCCAAGCACTGAACAGACGGGCGCTTTCCCCGTTATGGTGCAAAATTAAAACAAGGTTAAACCATAACCTGGGCCAAGGTCGTCCAATAAGATTTGGATTCTTTGTGTCTTGAAGATCTGAACGAATTCTAGTTTTGGGGGGCACTTTATTGCTCATACATAGGCCTGCACCTATGAAAGGCAGAGGGCAAACCAGTTTAACAAGTGACAGGAGGCTGCGCTGTTCACGAGCACTCATTTAGTTATTGGATAAACACTCATTGGGTTCTTACTTAATAGAGCTAGTTTTAGGAACCAGCAATGTTAAAGTGAACCAAACATATAACTCCCTCTCTCCACAGAGCCTACGCTGCAGAATGGGGAGAGACAGCAACGAGCAAACCAGCCCCTGTTTAGTGTGCCATGTGGAGGTAAGTACTGTGGAGAGAAAGAAAGGGTTGGTTTCTATGGGGAGGCAAAGAAGGGCCTCCTTGGAAGGAGATCTGAATGGAGACCTGGAGGGAGCACCAAGCAGAGATCTGGGAACAGGGTGCCCATGGAGGGAACAGCTGGGGCCAAGGCCCTGAAAGCAAGTAAAAATCAAGAGGACTAGCCCGCCACAAATGGATACATCCAGAGAACGTGGAACACAGACCCAGTGGAATACTATTCAGTCTTAAAAAATGAAATTTCCTCATTGTGACAACATGGAGGAGACTGGAGGACATTCTATTAAATTAAATATTTAATCTATTTCAATATGTTTTGTAATATATGTGTATTACATATATGTAATTACAGCTAGTGGGGTATGTTCACAAGGTCTGTATTGTATAACAAGGTGACTGTAGTTGATACAGATGATATGTTGAAATCTTGAGAACTGCAAAAGAGCGGATGTTAGGTGCTTTTCTCACAAACATGTTGACTCTGTGAGGCAATACAACTGACGATTAGCTAGATTTAACATAATGTGTGGGTCTCTCTCTTCCTCTAGATCTATCTATCTGCACACATAATGAATATGTACTTAAAAAATTGTGTGGTATGTAATAGGTATATATCTTTATAAGTAATTTTATCCATCAATTGAAACACAATCATAAAAATGAAAGAAGATTGGAAGGGCTAAATCAATGAAGGGATGGGAGGTGGAGCAGAGAGCTCAGGAGACCCCAGGGGACCAGATCATGCCGGGCCTGGTTCTGGACCATGCGCTCCATAGACAGAAAGCACATTCAGACAGAAAAGATACTGAGGAGTACACACTGGGCGCTTACTGGAGGATTGGCTTAACAGCCAGCTGGTTAGCAAAGGGAAGGGTGGCTGACAGACCAAAGGGCCGCTGCACACAGCACAGAAGCCAGGCTACGAAGGTACCATCTTGAGGGTGTCCGTCTTCTAGGACGATGTAGGAGAGGGCCGGGACTAGGAAGCTGTCAGACACCTCTGTGTGTGTTTTTATTCCTGATTTTAGGCATTTGCACTGCATCCTGAACCTTATAATTCTGTTGTGTTGCCAAGTTTCCATCCTATAAAAGCAGTCTTAGCTGAAGAGTGAGGCGATGTCACCTGATTTGGGGCTCTGGCCTGAGCAGGTGGTGGTCATGCCAGGCTTGATATTACATCTTCCTGAGCACCGATATTTGAAATGGAGGATGCAACTTTTCCTACCAATTGGACAGAAACCAACCCAGTGGGACATACTTGGTTCTCTAAACCATGGGAAGGGGACTGAAAACTAATTAGATTCCGTGCCTTAAGTTATAATGGCACTTAGTCTGTCACCAAGAAATACGTAAATTAAATAATCTAAAGAACTCATTGCATCAGAACTCATTTTTTTAAAAAAGTTCTTTTATCTTTCCTCTGTTCCCTCTGTGGGTCAGGTACTGTTCTAGGCAGCAGAGAAGCAAAGAGGAAAGACTGTGCTGCCCTCACAAACTTCATTCTAAGCGTTGTAGATATTTTCTACCCAGGTTCCTAGGTAGCAGTTGCTGTTCCTCAAGGATGGCAGAATTAGGAATATCCTTTGAAATACCAAATTCTTTCAAAATATTTTTAGCATCTTTTTTTTTTGTATCCCTGTTTCTCTAGGGCCCTAAACATGGACTTCACAGGATTTGGGTGCAGCAGAACTAGGCCTTCTGCCGTTGTTTGCTACAAAGAGCTAAGGAGCTGTAACTTACATTGGGACTTCTGTCATGTGCTTGGGACTTTTTGAGTAGGGTGTTATTGTGGATTGAATTGTGTCCCCTTGTTGACATACTGAATATTAGAATGTGTCTGTATTTGGAAATAGGACTGCAGAGGAAAAGAATCAAGTTTAGATGACACCAGATGGGAGCAGTGTAGGCCCTGAAATCCAATAGACTGGAACACAGCATCCTTCTTCCAAAGACCAACCTTCACAAATATCTGAAAAGCTCAGACTGTGATTAAAAAAAAAAAAAAAAAAGTTCACAGAGTTGTCTCACCCATGGCAGGTTGTATATAATTAGCCAAGAGATGCTTTTGGAACTGGGAAGGCAAACTGTTCCTTCTTCCTGGATCATTGCCTACTTTTGTTGAACATTTGTTTTTTACAGAAATGTACTAGCTTCTCCTGGAAGTCTCCTAAATGACACTTTTTAATGTAGATTCTCAAATTTTAAAAAATGGACTCAAACTTACAACCTGGCTTAAAGATACCGCTGAATTTGGTAGCATGTTGATGCTTTAAGATTCTTTACTGTGCAATGTTATGACTTAGACATAAAAGAGACATTGGCTCTGACCTTGGCAGGCTGTGGGACTCCTTGAGGGCCTGTCCCTCTGCACCAAAGGCCTTAAATAAAGCTCCCGTCCAGTCTCCGGCTACCCGGATATGCACACTGAAGAAGTCCTCCTGGGGGGCGGAGGTGAGGGTGAAGGGGTGCCATTCCAGAGAGGATATGGACGGGCACTGGATCAAGATGTACTGCCCTGGTGCCATTTTAAAGCCACGTTTTTTCATGTGAAGTTCTAGGACTGCAGACGGGTGACTTACCACCTAAAATAGAGCAAGACCGTAGACAGTTGTCAGCCGTTTTATTCAGGTGAGGTCAATAAGAAAAGGGCTTTCATTTCATGAAAGTTTTCAAAATTTTAAATCGGCCTTTTTAAAGATATAAAATTCAATGATACCACTGCTTTCTGGGTTTGAACTTGAGCAAGAATGAAGTTCGTTCTTCACAGTGCTGTGGCTGACATTTGGGCAGCTGCATCCACGTGCAACTTCATGCCCGGCACATGACTCTGTGTCTCAAGTGACCAGGCATCCCCCAGCACAGTTATCCAGTTTGAAGAAATATCAGCAAGTATAATCTGCATATCATTTAACTGTGCTTCAAGTTATTAAAATGCTCAACAAAAGCATTATTTCCATGCTTTTAAAAATCTAGGAAGAGTTTATTACCTTTGTCAATGACCTATATGAATAAAACTGGATCTTTCTTCATGCTGAATGAGAAACAACCTTCCAGCTCTGAAATATTTATTTGTTAGGTCTTCTTTTGTTTTGACTAAACCTTGTCCAGTATCCTACCACTATCCTGAGTTTTAGATGCCAAAAAGCATTGCACAAGGACTTAGGACCTTCAGTGAGAATCTATAACTCATTGCTTATTCAAGGAAAGAGCACATTTTCTGCTTTGGATTTCCATCTTGTGTTTTGAAAAATATCTCTAGCTCTTTTTTTTTTTTTTTCCCTGGCAAGAGGCATAAAGGAACAAAACCTAGTATCTAGACCCTGGGACAGTACTTTTCCATTAAGAAGAACATCTCAGTCTTTTACTCATTAGTTCTAGTTCTCTCCCTTCCAATGTTTGTTCTGATGCTTCGGTTAAATGGTCTCCCTAGTAACGGCTCTAGGTTTCCACCAGTTTTACAGCCTGGCTTTTGATGCGGCCTGACATCCTTTGGTGCTTTAACATAACAGCAACATTGAAACAGCTTAAAGCAGGAACAGGAGGCAATTTCTATATCTCTGCTTTCTTGAAGACTGTGAAGGGGATGTAGTATTCTGTTAAAGTTATACTAGCAGAGTGCTATAAGTTCTGTTAGCAGAGAATTTTTTTAGGCATTTAAAAAACACTGGGATGGTAAAGATATTTATAAAGCAACATCAAGGTGAAGGCTTTCTCTCTAGGCTTTACCTAGCACTATCATTAATTCGGTGGTTCCTATTTTATCCTAAACTCATTTCTATACTTAAAAGCTCAAATACATCAACTAATTGATGTACTTGAAAGTCTGAACTTAGAGATAATATTAAGATGGCCAATGCATGCATATGTAAATAAATATTATTTATATCTTCAGAAGAACTGGTAAATTAAAAAAGAGGAAGAGGATTAATATTTGTGAATGGAATTGCATTCAGAAATTCCTATACTTTTTCCCGATCAAAATGAAAACAAAAGTTTTTATTTTACTAATTATAAAAGGAATATATTCTGGTATTAAAAAATTAAGCAATCTAAAATTAATACAAAGAGCCCTCACTTAAAAATCTACTATTCCAAAGTAACACTATTGACATTTTGTTGATATTTGTATATTTAGATTTATCATTTTTTTGGGCAACAAAAGGCATGGAAAACTTACCATATAAAATCAAATGTATACATAATCAGTTTTATGATTATTATATGGTAAATTAATCAGTTCTCCATTGAAATTTTGTATATTACTTACACATTTCACTATGATAAAGAATGTTGCAGTGGGAAAATAAAAACACTTAGGGTTGGGGTAGAGTGCTTGATACTTTGTCTCCTGGACAAGATTATTGGTCTCTTTCTATCTTGCTCTGCATAAAGAGTTGTGAGCCAGGATACTAAGACTGGGAACACTACCATGGTGCACTCCACTCACCCGGGCAGAGCACTGTATAGGTCCTTCCTCTTTATTTTGAACCACCAGGTGCCCCTTCTTACCCTGAAGCTTCTTTTCCCTGTCCACTGCTCAGCAGTCCCAGGTGGGAGTGTGCAGGCTTGAAAATGTTTAAATGTTATTTGTATGTTTGCAAAATCTGTGTCTTTATATGGTGCATGAAGTTACTCTAGTGGAATACATACTCAACCCTTCTGTCTTCCCCACCTAGAGAGAGACTGGAATAAGGAGAAATAAGACAATTCCAGTGCTGTACTCTAAACCTTTATTGGAATTCTGCATACCAGTCTGGAGCCCTGATCCCTGTCTTCAGTAAAATTAGTCACACTAAAAGATGCTCAGGATATAAGCAATTATTAGAACAGAAGATGAGCCTCTAAATTACAGATAGTTCTGCAATAAAAATGGCAAATTAAAAACTTGGGCTAATAAAAAATTTTCATCTACACTCAGGCCTTTATTCAGACATAAAGCTCCACGCATACCTTAGTAATGACAACTTCTTGTTGAGATCGCCAGAACCTAATTATTCTTTCACATGCACACAAGACCACAGGGCCCAAAACCCATTTCCAAGCCTGCAGAGAGCAGAGAGAAAGAGAAAGGAAATGAAAACAGAATCCAAATATTTTCAATTTGAACCAAATCAATATATAATATGATGGGGTTAGACATTTTCCTTTAACTTTGGCCCAGTTATCAACAACAAAGATGTCTCCCTGTATTAAATACTACAGCATTCAATTATTCCTTGAGGTCTACAAGCTTATTTAAGAGATTAAACTCTCCTATATTGGTTTTTATGCTTACTTGATCAATGATGTCTTTATGTAATTAGAAATAATTGAATTTGCAAAGAAATAAGGAAGCAGATTGATGTTTATGTTACATATGATAGGGTCATAAATGCTCCCAAACTCAGCCAAAGTCAAAGGCTTACAAAGCAGCATTACTCAGCCAACACAGGGCATGAAAAATTAAATGAAAAATCTCAAATAGTAATTTGAACATTGCATTACTACTCTGGGGTCTGTCTGAATATAACACACACACACACACACACACCCACCCACACCCCACACACAAACCAATATCCTCTGGAATAAAATATGAAGCTAGTTTCTTAGCCTCTTAAATCTTAGTTATATAAGATATATAGAATCAGAACAAAAGAGTCATCAGTTTCTGGAGACCCAGAACAGTGAACATTCTGAATGAATCAGATACTGTGTTAACCTTTCATGAGCACAGTCTGCATTATAGATGATCGATTTACCAGCAGGCTATTCGGGTACTAGGTGTCGTGCACAACACAGTGTCTTCACCTAAGAAAGGGGTAGGAATGGGATCTTAAAATTGATGAAGGCTTGTATTAGGTTGGAAATGGAGTCATCCCATGAGACATGTGGTATTATCTTTTACAGTAGAGAAATTAAAGCTCCATAAGACCAAACAACCATCCAAGGTCATCAGGCAATAAGGTGTCCATTCAAAATGTGAACTCAGATGTGCCTAACCATCCAGTCTCGGTTCTTGCTGGGACCCTGGGCTGCCTCTTCCAGTATCTACCATGTAATGAAGATGAAAACAGGCTTCTTTCTATCCAACACTACAAATGGTCCTGAGGCTTGCTCTACAAAACATTAGAAACCAACCCATGAACTCATTGAATTTCAAGATGTCAAGGTTCTTATAAATCTAGCCAAATTCTTTTGTAAAAGAAGAAAATTCAGGGTCCCTGGGAATGGGAAGGAGTCACCTAAGGAGGCAGAGCCAGACCTCAAGCCATGGAAAATGACCCCATGTTTCCTCTTTGGTACTCTAAATCCGCGCCCCTACATATGATAGGGTTATAAATGCTCCCAAACTCAGCCAAAGTCAAGAAAAGCAGCATTACTCAGCCTTACTCTCTTGGGAGCAGGAAGGGCCTTGCTTTCTTTTGAACTCAAGTGTTCTCTAAATCCTCACCAATGCACTCATTAATGACTCACTATTTACGTATCAGTTATTCTGCTCTGTCTCTTGGGTTGACATATCACAAACCCTTTAGCATTATTTTATTTCTTTTGAGTTATCTTTCTTGTTGTATTTCTTTCTTTTTTGGTTATTTCTGGCTCTGTTTGCATGGTGTCTCTTCTCTCCTGCACCAACCCTATTGGCTGCTTTCCTGATGGCCTCTTGTGTGCCTCATAAAGGATGCATGTATGCAGGTAACAGAGCAATTTGACCCACTTATTCTTTTCTGCCCCCGTGGGGTTCAGCCACATGTTCAGATTAGCAGAGAGAACAAAACTCTTTGTGCACCTGGACTGGGGGGAGGTGGGAAAGATGATCAGGACAAGGCAAGAGATAGGAAGTGGCAGAAGGACAGGTTTGAATGGAGGAAATACAACCTTGGGTTCCTTATGCTTGAATGAACCAGGAAGTGCTTACAGAACAGCTTTGGGTATTTACAGAAATTGCAAGAATGCAATTCTCTCTATGTGGGGTTAGAGAGGTATTTGGAAAATACATATTCTTTATGTATTTGTACAAATAATCTTCTATACACGTTTTAGAATGTTTAGACCCACATCCATCACTTGGGTAGTGTCAAATTAACCACAGCCTCTGATATTTCCAAGGTGATGAAATGGGATGGGTTATTTTTCCTTTAATGATTAGTCAGGAAGGAGAATACAAGCTATCAATCCATCTCATTACTAGTAAAGACACTGCTCTGGGAGGAGATAGCCCAGTTTCCTTCCCAGTGAGACTCCTGGAACCCCTGGAAGTGAAAGAGTGAGGATGAGATGCAGCCAGAGAAGAGCCTTAGGGAACTGGCTGGCCTTGGTGACCAGGACAGGCAAAGCAGAGTGAAGACAGGGGGCCCCACACTCCTGAGCCAGAGGGATGGATGGTGAGGTGGCGCCTGGCTCTGCGCTTGGAACTACACCTCCCCATCCTGTGCCTCGGGCTTTATGATGCTCAAATTTTCTGTTTCATAAAACAGGGAATGGTTGGAGAAATTTTTTGTTTTAAATCTAAGCTCCCTCAAAGCTTTGGCTTTATTCACAGAGATAAATGTGATGCTGAAGTTATGTACTTGTACACAGCATCAGAAACCTGACCGATAGATCTTGGGGAAAGGTCAGAGATCCAAGCAATCATTGTGGGGTGCAGAGAGGAAAAGTCACAGCCACAGGGTCAGGAGCTCCCATTCCATGATGTAGCTTTGCTGGGAATGTCCTTCGTGACCAGAGGGGAGACCAGAGGGGAGAAAAGGAAACTCCTTGGACCCCAATTTTTCCCATCTATGAAATAAAGGAGCAGAATTATGCAGCATCTGAGTTTCTTTAATGTTAAAATACTGTGTGGATTCTCAGCATTATTTTTTCCTTCTTCGGAAATACTCAGAAAGTCATGGTACAGTGAGTATTTTATGATAGAAATAAAACTATGTTGATTTAAAAGCAGCAGTAATGAAACTTGTTTCCTTCGCTTTCACTCCTGGTTTTTCATTCCTACCAGAAAATAAGAACATGCTGGCTTTGATTTTATTTTATGTGTGTGTTTATGAATAGCCTCTTTTTCTAGACAATAAGATCTCCCGGGGCAGGAACCACAGCTCTGATTCCTGTGTCTAGTGAAATGCAAGCACTCAAGAGCCACATGTAAGAGTTCCCTGAATTAACTCCCCCTCACCACTAATATCATTCCCTCGTAATTAAAAAAGTCAACCTGAAGATTATTACTGGTTGATATTGTGGTTAAATGAAGTGAGGTGCTTCCTGGGCTAAGGAGGACCCGGCATTTTTTGATATAGGATTGAATGAGCCGTCCTGGAATCTGGAGTGCCCTTGTGCGGGTAGTTTGGGGTAGAAAGGAGGAGTCAGACACATGGGAGGGGAATGCCAGGTGTAACTGGTTCCTCTGGTCACTTCAGTTTATACGAGGGAATGAAGGGAATGTACAAAGCATTCTTTGTCCCCACGTAGGGATCGGTGTACCCCAGAAGGTGAACTGGCAAATACTCTACTGATAAAAACACTGTGAGAACCCACTGAAATAAGAGAGGATAAAGAAAGAAATGGAGTCTTGCAAAGACTGGGTAAGGCGTGATGCAGTGAAGCACAGGAGCCCTTCCTTGTCCTTGGGATGACTTTCGGTTTCAGTCTATGAGACATCAGAGAGAATATTGTACAGTTCAGCCAAGCGGTAATTGCACAGCCCACACACACTTTGAATCAGGATCCATTAAAAGTAATGGGAAAGAGTGACACCCTGAGTTTGGGTGTGCAAGGAGGTGTAGCAGGGGAGAGTCAACGGAGAGATGGTAAGTTCCCCCCTCTTAATGATAATTAATGTCAGCATACACTGCTGGGAGCAGGCCCTGGTCTGCATTCATGAGGTGTGGGAGAGTATTGATTTTTTTATGGAGATGCTGTAGCTGAAAATTTTAGAGAGGCATTCATGTTCCTCATTAATATGCAGGCTGAATCGTGGCTACTGAGAGTTGAGTTTAAGACAGAGACAATCTATACTGGCCATTAAAAGAACCACAGTCTAACGGGCACATCTATTTCAGTTGTCTCAGTTTTAAACATTCCTCCCAGTAGTTTTACCCTTAAAACCTGGTGCTTAATTTAATATTTTGAGGGTTTAACAAAAAGCTATTATTTATATTCTTCTGATGTTGATGACTTAATTTCCTAAATCCCCATCATTCGCATATTAGTATATTCTGTTTATGCTACCTATTTTTGGACACTTTTTTCCTCCTAGTTTTAATCTACTGGCTTTAATTATTTTCCCTCATGCATCACCCAGCTGTCCCAAAGGTTTGCACCATTTTAAGACCCTGGATGCGACCAAATAGGATTATTATTTCTATTTACTTATGCTACCAACTATAATGACTGCAACATACTCAGAAATCTTACTTTTGAGATCTATGGACATTATCATCTACTCAAAATAATTAAGTCTATTCTTGGATAACAGTGCTATCATTTCATCCATGAGAGCCTAATTAGAAAAAAGAAGGAAATGCATTGGACGCCCCTATTTTTCAATCCCAAAAGCTGTAGGAAGGAAAAAATAAAGGAAGGGAGCAAGGAAGAAAGCAAGCAGGCAACATTATAAAGAGGGTATGGTTCTCACTTGGCCGTAGCCATCCGAGGCCGAGCAGTGATGCTGTTAATTCTCAGAGTGGAGAAGGCAGCTATGCAGGGATACAGGCAGCTGAGGAAGCAGGAGAGCAGAAGGTAGTTAGGCACACGCTAACTCCTCCAGAGCCGTTACTGTGCTATTATGGATCCCCACAATGTCTGACATCCATATTTAAATATAAGTAGAAGAACACATTTCAAAGCCGAACAGGGTGCTTTTGGCAGTAAACCTCTTTTAAAATTATCCTTAACTGGATTTCTCCATTAGTACACTTAATAAAGAGCGGGCTTTCTCTAGTGGTGACATGGGCTGTTCTTTTTTCCAGGCATATAAAAGCTCTAGTTATCTTAACTGTGGGGACAGTTATTTTTAAAAGCTCCTGGGTTCATTCTTACCGAAGGTTCCTTGCCAGAAAATTGAGGCACAGGGCACAGGGCAGTCGCCCGCCATTCAGCATAGCGGTCTCTACAGAAGGTGACATTGTGCAGCAAGAGACTCTCCGGAGTTTGACCTCGAATAATTTGACTTATATAAAAAAAAAAAAAAAGCACACACACAAAAATGTCAAACCGATTTTGTGCAGTTTTGTTATACCACAAGATTTATGTATTTTACAGCACGCTCTGGAACAACAATTCTATTGCTTAAAGTTTGGGCTGTCACTCATTTTCCTCAGCATCTTTAAAAATAGGCATTTAAAAAGCTTTGGATAACTTTGAAGATCCCAGAAAAGAAGTGCCCCTCTGTGGTATCCTGTGCTAAATTGAAAGTGTCTATATTAGAGAATTCATAATGAAGGAAATTGTTTGAACACATCCTTTTGTAGACTGTTGAATTTAATTAGGTTTCATCTCGTCCTGATTGCTGATTTGGGCTAATTGGCTAACTTTGTACTATTTGGTTCTTTTGCAGATTGATTTAACTTCTACCCTTCTTAGTTTGTTTCTGAGAGCTTAGAACTTTTCAAGTAAAGAAGACAAAAGAAGTGCCCTGAATAATGGTTATTTTTCCCCCCAGTGACCACTAGCAGGCTTAGTGTTTGACAGAGTCAAAATAGGTCACTATGAAGTATGTCTTTGAGACTGTATTGATAAATTTAAGAGTGCAAAGTGAAGGCAGCCTTCATGAATGAAGTGCTGGATGAAGAATCCTGTAATTCTGTTCTATTATATTTGTCACAAATGTACTACCAAGTGACCTTTGACAAACTGCTTTGGTTCTAGCTCCTGGGGTCACACACTGGCGTACTGACGGTGAAAAGCACCAGACTTTTAGGTCACATACTTTGGGGGTTGTGTAGTGCCTCAGTGTTTATGAATAAGATGCACCGATTTATTTTGCCAATAAAAAATAGACTCTTGGACTGAGAGATTTTAGTATGTCACACAAATCCATGTCCTGGACAGCCTTTGGCATTACAAGGCATGGGAGGAGGAAGCAATAATGCCTTTGGAAAGAGCTTGGGGTCAGTTAGAACTGATGTGTTGGTCTCTGTCTGGGTCTGTTTTATGGACGTCATCCAAATCTGATAGCACACCTTCGAGTTGATGAGCAAAGCTTTGATCTCCAGGTGCAAATAATGTCCAGACATAGCAAGGGTGAACACTGAATGGGAGCCAGAAGAGGGGCACTGTGAATGTCACCGCATCCATTGCCAGGCCTTAGACAACGTTCCCTAGACTAGGCCCCAGAGGGTTCTACAAATGAAGTTATCTTTAACATTTAAAAAAATGTTTTTGAACGTCTCCATCTATGCCATCCCATAATAGGTAGATTAGTGGGCTTTAACACATTCCAGTAATCCTACTTTTACTTGGCATTTTGTATAGAATTCGCAAATTACTTTTGCTGTAAACAGTAGCTGTAGAACACTTCAAGCTGAGAAGATTAAATGAAGCCCTTATCCCCAAATAAGCCTTTCAACTAGGTAAAAATGACTAAAAAATTTCATCTTGAAATGTTATTTGGATATCAAAAAAGTATCTCCAATGAAACACTGCCCACTGAAGTCCACTGCTTCTACAGTGCACCAGGGTGTGGACCAGGGAACACGGATTAGAGGGGTGACTTCTGGGAAGAGGATTTCTACACACCCATGGATATGGATAGAAAGAGCCTCACAAGGTGCCGCGGGGGTAAGAGCTGGGCATCGGAGGAAGGCAGAATTTGTCAATTCATCCATTCTCTGGATGGAACGCTGGGCCACACCCTCCACTCTGTCTGCCCCAAGTACAAATAAATAGGAAGGTTGAGATGTGCACACTCCCAAGAGCCAACTGCAGACACTTTAAAGCTGAAACAAAATAGAAAGTCTTTAACCTGTTACCAGCATAAAAAGGAAGGTTGACCAGGATATAAGGATTAGCAGTGGGAAGGGCACTCTGTTAGTGTAAAATACACCCCCAGGGGTACCCCTCTTGAACAATGTGTGCACAGTGTGTGCACAATGTGTGCATTCAGATAAGCAGCTGGACACGGCAGCTTGCAATGAGGCATAGGCAGCGTGAAAGTGTCACCCCTTGGAGAAGTGGGGCTTGGGCAGGAAGGAGCATCTCCTATAAGGAGGGAGTTTGGAGGGGACAGCTGACTTGCTAAGGTGCGAATCTAAAAGAGTTGTCTTGGGCACCCAAGGGGACCACCGAGTCGCCAAGGCGCTGCCCTCCCAGGCCAGGCGGGTGGGGTTGCACACCTGCACTTCTGCGTCTGCGCAGAAGCTGAGCCATTGGCGTCCAGGCCCCTCGTGTGCGCGCTCTGCAGGGCCGAGTGAAAGAAGGTGTTCAGCTAGTCGGGACCCGAGGAAGAGCCAAGAGGTGTTTGCACCACCACCCGCCACGTGTTTCTGGAGGATGAAGATATGCCTTAAAAAATCGAGGGTCCGTTCGTTCTTCAAGGGCTTCTTAAAAGTAGAGGGTTGTGGCCTCGGGGTAGAGCACTTTCCTACCATGTGTGAGGCACTGGGTTCAATTCTCAGCACCACATATAAATAAATAAATTAAATAAAGGCCCATCAACAGCTAAAAAATATTTTAAAAATAGAAGTTTAATTCCCTAAGGATTGGTGCCCTAGGTCTGACTCTGCCATTCATTCACCTGGGACCTTGAGTGCCATTGGACTCCTCCTTATGAAAGGGGGCACCCTCACCTTTTCTACTTTCAAGATTGTCGTCAGGGTCAAATTGATCCTGCAGATGGATATCCAATGGGGGAAAAACACCAGTCGGTGAAATGAATAAAAAGAGCAAGCTCATTTGTAGACAGCAATTAGTGAATTCAGGTCATTAAGGAACTGACACGTACAGGTGGGTACATTGTGCACCCTTGAGTACTTCAGGTGCTGGTCCAGCTTCTCTGTGAGGGTTAACACTCTGCAGGTGCTGAATGCCAGAATAAATCTCATAGGATGTCTGTGCAAAGAGGTATCTGAGAGGTCACATGGGGAAACTAAGACTCAGAAAACTCAAAACACTTGTGCCCAGTCACTCTGCTAAATAGGGGTAGAGTTGATCCAGGTCTGGCTGGTCATCTCAAATGCTCTGTGCTCTCCTGCATACTGGTCTGCCTAGTTGATGGATTTGGCTAAGCAGAAGTGAAATCGAGATGTCAAAAAATATATCTCCTGACTAATCCCACATAAATTGGATTGCAGAAACAGGTACAGAATGAAACATAGATCTGCTGTCATCCAGCATTCATTAGAATTTCTGAATCTTATAAAACATGTCAAGACTCACTAACCGAGTGAGCTTGGAAAAATAAATAAAATACTTCTCTACCTAGGTGACTTATTTTCAGTATCACAAAGAGAAGTTTGCCACAGTGGGCATGCATTTTCACACTTAATAGGCGTCCTGTTGTCACCGCACATTGTGTTCCTTTATTAGAAGGACTTTCAAAGATTTTGACATTCATGGAGATAATAATCTGAACATGCTGAACATAACTTGGACTTACCCTGCCCCGTGGACAGCCAGGCTGATGAAGAAGATGGTGAAAAGATGGTGCGTGTACCAGAACAGCTCATAGGAGAACTGCCTGATGAACTCTGTTGAAGAGGTCATGATCAAGACCAAAGCCAGAGAGAGCACCAGGCCCGTAATGCCTGCTATTGTCGACAGCAGCTCAGTGGTTGTGTTCTAACAGAAACGGATGCCGCGACATTAATATCTCATACACTTTGTAGTTTTTAGAGTCAACACTTGAAGGTTCAAGCAAAGAGCCATTCACAGTGTTTTGCTTGGAAGCATATTAGCTGGATAAGATCTGGGAACAACTCAAGAAGTGAGTTCCCTCACCTTTTCTTCTTCCCCTGTGCTTAGCTCGAATTTTATGAAGTGCCATGTCATTAACTACATTTTTTTCCCATTTATATAAATTAATTTTCATGTCCAACTTACTGTATTGGGTAGACATTAGCATAAAATACAAAGAGAGCATTTTAAGATATAATATAGCAAGTCAATCCATGTTGTTAAGTTTTTAATTTTTAAAATAAAAAATGTGGATCACCATGCTTAATTGCATTTTAACATTAATAAACACATTTTTTTTTTGAGAAGTCCCTTAGGGGCATTCCTAATACAGCAGCTGCACACTCTGTTCCCCTGGTAGTTCTTCCTAGCTCTTGCTTTTTAATTGGAAAGACCATGACTTGCATTTCTTTCACGCCACCTTAGGGGACCTGAAATAAGGCTTGGTAAATCCTAGGTGATCAATAAAGGTACAGCTATTCTTTTCTGGTGGATACTCCCAAAAGGCCTGAATTCTGACCCAAGAGTGCAAGGGACAGTTAAATAGCCTTTTAGAATATGAAGCAGAAGGCGTTTGGTTTTCATTGCGAGCTTCCCATATTCCTGCCCAGTTATTAGTATTCATACATTGTGCTACTATCGCTGAGCCGACCATGAGCTCAATAAACTCACACTATATCTTTTGTCAGTAAAACCTCATTAATTTGGGCTGCTTTGAGATCCGAAGGTAATTTGGACAGGGACTTCTCCATTGTTTATTTTTTCCTCACAAGGCAAAGAGTGAAAATAAAATGGAAAGGGGTCTGTCTAAAACATTTGAAGGAGGTTTTTTGCAGGTATACTTGAAATCCATTTCCAGCATATGCTGTGCTAATTTCAAATCATCCTTCTTTGACTATTAAGGCAAATTTCCTCTTTTCTCGCAACACGTTTATAGACTGGTTTGAGTTGCAATGAATCCTCTAAAGCAGTCCCACTCCTTTTCTTCCCAATTGCTGTGTGTAATACACTTTGTGTAACTGATATCATCTCTCTCCAAACACCCCAACTTAGAGGGCTTTCTGAGCTTAGTCAGTGCCTACATAGTATATTGCTTAAAAAATGTAAAAGTAATTGTGTTAATTATTTTGTTCAATTGCTTTAAAAGTTACTTATCATGTATTCTATTCATTATGTGATCTCTTTAAAATGTTGATAATTATTCTTATATTTGTGTAGCACTGGATTTTCTGGAGCTTTAGTGGGGAAATGGGTTAGCATCCCATTTCCCCACTAAAGGTGGGTGCACAGTGATGGGAGAGGTCTGCCCACGTGCTTAGGTGAAATTTGTGCTTCTAATTGCTGTCAAGTGAGCAAAGGAACTCAACTTGATCAACGGCTTGATATTGAATTATCATCTTAGGGTAATTAGGAGTTTAACATGGGAGAATCACTCCCAAAACAGATTTTGAATTTTCCTCCCTTCAGTAAAGCTGTATGAGTGAAATGGTCACTCATGGAGATGGCCCACATAACAACAGAGAGATTTCTACTGCTGCGTTGTGTTGCCTTCAAAGCCTTTTTCTTGGAAAATATAGACTTTTTAACACGGTCACCATGTTGGACACATATTGCAATATAGTAGTACGTGGAAAAAGTTGGGGTCAACCACAAAGGAAGAGGTCTGGAGGAAGAGGATTATCCTTTCCTCTAAGGGTAATGATTGTGTCTACATTTGGGGTTTCCTTTTTTCCTCCCCACAGGTGCTGCCACTCTGTGCATATAGGTCATTAGCATCAGTGGGGTCACTAGCCTTGCAGGTCTCGTTATGAAATTAGCTTCTTTACCTAGTGCCTGTTTTCATGTGGGCCAAAATATGAGGTGCAGGAGAAGGGATCCAGAAAACAATTTGCAAACTGAAAATGAAGACATCCAATTTATAATCTCTGCATTTAGATGGGATTCACATTCTTTATGAGTCTAACATCAGTGGAAAAAAAAAACTGATCATGAGCTGCTTTTGAATTTTAAAATATTAGGTTTTTACATTAGGTGACTACATTCTTAAGTACCACCTATATATTTTCACAACATATTAATTAATTGGCATGTTTTTCACTTTGCTCATAACCTCCCAGGAACATTAATGGTTGAAAAAAATAAGTTTAAAAAGGTGAAAATGATAATAACGTTTGGCATAAACGTCTTCTCTCCAGCTCTTGTATTAAAAGCTAATGAAATATATTTTTCCTGATAAAGGGATGAGATAAGGAAGGATTTTTCAAAAGGGAAACTGGAACTCACTGTGTGGAAGGTCCGGACAGGGTTGAGGTAGCTCTCATTTGGGGTGTTTCCAAGCTTGGAAAGTGCTGCCAGGAGTCCCTCCGCATCCTCCGACTGGCTCAAGTGGTAGCGCTCAAGGTTGAACAAATGGGCCACAATGTGGATGGCTGAGGATGAGGAGATGACATAGGACATGCAACATATGGATTTTGTCCTTTGTAGTTACTCAGAAATGCAATGCCACTGTGATCAAGTTTCTCTGTTCTGGTTTTCAAACTCCCCAAGGAAAATTGATTTACTTAGGCATCTTTCCCAGTGTCTTGAATAGAGTGGATCAAATGCTTCTGAAAATGGTGTGTGATTCACCACATTCGTTTCAATTATGTTGAGAAAGAAAGCAATTCTCAATTCAACATAACAATTTTAAACATACAGTCTCTAGAAGTGGAATAGGTCTTATGATATCACAACATAATTATATATAAGATATAATGCTTAAATAAGACATGTGCATGTAGATAAACGTATGAAATTTCTTAAGAAGGCAGAAAGCATTCCTCTGGAATTCCTCATACACTCTGATATATTTAATGATATACATGAATGATACCAGGATATATTGATTTTTGTTCTCTTTTAGACATTATATTGTCCATTCCTTCCTGTATATATTTTAGCATTTACGTATAGGTATACATATCCACATGTCTCGTGTATTTGAATGTGTTAGTCCTACTGTATTGAAATATACCAGTATTTATGGAACTAAAATACCCTCTCCATATTCTTGAAAAGTAAATTCTGTGCTTTCTAATTTTGAGAATGGGTGAATAAGATCAGGGACATAGATTATCTAGATGGCTGAGGATTCTGGGTCTGATGTTCCTCCACCTGCCTTGTGAAATCTTCTGGGCAGCCAGCAATCACAGTGTCTAGACAACTGCATGCTTTTGCTCTGGAACCCTAGTTGGGGAGCGGGTTGATACCTGCCTTTGTGATCAGACTCAGTTGAGGACTCATTTCCTGGGATTGGAATATAGGCAATTCCCCAGTTGATATCTCCTCTCTCTCTCTCTTCTATTATAGTCTATACCAGTTGTGGGTGAATTATGAGATTCTCCATGGTGGTCCACTGTAGGTGGAGGTGCGTAAGAGAAGGGGCAAACGCGACCAGCAGAAACTTCTAGAATATTGGTGTCATTTTGGTCCCTGTGGTCCTAATCACATATTTATTTAGAAATGCCATTTTCTATTTAGAAGAGATTTTCTGTTACCCTAGTCCTTTTTATCAGAACTATTGCCTTTTCTGCCTTGCAAAGTTTTACTCATGCTTTAAGACCTAATTCAGAAAGTTGTTTTCTGTTATAACTTCTCCACTTCCATAGGCACAGCTGATATTTTGATTACACGATTTCTCAGAAATGATTGTTGTGTTTATTTATGTTTGTGACCCCAAGGGACTTTGACCTCTTCGAGACTTAGTCCTCCTTAAAACTTTTGTGTGTGGCCCATTGCTTAGCACCAGCAAGTACTTAATAATTATTTTCTAAGTGGCTGTGATATTACAGAAAGGTAGAAGGGATAAAGAAAGAGTCAGGAAATCAATGGTTTCAACGTTGACTAGAGACGTATATCTGCTGGCATATATTTCTAGCACATTTTTCTTCAGGCTTTAATAAGTTGAAAATCAAATCAAACATACTTTTAGTTGAGACCCCCCAAGGAAAGCAAGGCATACGATAGTGCTTCTGCATCTACGATGTTTGTTGCCTGTTTGTGAATTCAGTGAGGTTTGCATTGAAGAGAGTATATTTTCTCCTATGTGCTGCTATGGTTTGGGGGTAGTTTGGGGAAAGGTGTGTGTATTAGAAGCGTGGTCTCCAGTGTGACAATGTGGAGAGGGCCCTTTAAGAGGTGGGGCCTAGTGGAGGTCTTACTGGTGGCTCCCTGTGTCTGGCTTCCTGTCTCACCATTGCTGGCTCTCTCTCTCTCTCTGTGCTCCAGCCCTGGTGCCTCTGCCAGGAGGTGATGCAGCTATAGGGCTCTTGCTAGAGCTAGCACCATGTTGTTTGGAATTTATACCTCCAAAATGGTGAGCCAGTGCGTCTCTTTTCTTCATAAAGCACCCAGCCTTACTGTTTCTTTACAATAATGGATAATAGACTAATACATGAGCTTTGTTGACATGTGGCCATGGCTAGGAGAGAGCTGCCTCGTTTAGCCTCAACAGCCACAAAGCCAGAAAAGCTCCTCCAGCAGCCATCTCTTCCAAAATGCTGTACATACACTGGGAACTGTTTGCCAATTTGAACACACACATTGTCCGGCACTTCTAATTACTATTTTCTGATAATAACCTCAGAGTTGTTAAAAACAGGTGGGATTTCTCATATTTGAATGTCTACTCTACACCAGGCGTTGTTAGAAATGCATAGGCATATCATCCGATTAACCCTCAGGGATTAGTCTTAGTCCTATTGTATAGACCAGTGTTCAGAAAGTTCATGGCAAAGGTGAGATAAAACCCTGTTTATGTGACTTCAGGGCCCCATCTTTTGACACATAGGCTTTACTGCTTTTTGGACTAAAAATATATTGCTCTGCCTTACTTTTTTCTCAGAACGGGGCTCTCCCACAAGTTTAGGTAAAGCTCTGTGAATGGCTTACTGATGCCCCTAATCTACCATTCTTAATTAAGGCTGATGACCCATGGTGACATTTGGTGTCCTTATTGTGAGCTAGTGTAACTGCCCCTTTGCCTACCACTTGAGATACCCGGGTGCTCCTCCTATTTCTGATTCTCCCAGCAGACACTAAGGCACTGCAGAGAAACTAGAGCTGTTCCCATTTTATAGAAATAGAAACCAAACTTCAGATTAAAATAAAATAAGTGACCAGTGTACTATTGCATAATCCACAGGGGACAGTCAGAAAGAGAATATGGAATAAATTCTCTTATATTCTTCTGTTTTTATAGCATTCCTCCCCCATGTAATGAGCTGTTGATCACAATCTGTTTTCTATTAGATTGATTTCCACATGAGGGTTTGACACTGTTAAACTAAATTTAAGTGTGTGGATTGAATGAACAAAGATATTGAACTATTTATTTATTCTTATTGCCAGGTGTCTCCTAACAGAGCTGAAGAATCTAATGAAGTAGGATAAGAGAGCCCAGGACACTTTTCAAGAGGTGGCTTCTGAGGGAATAGGCTGAAAACCACTCTCCTCGGTATTTTTCACATATTTGAAATTCGTATCTTCAGTGTTTCTTTGCTTCAGCGCCTCCATTTTGTTTTTGCTTTACAAGGCAGAAGATGAAAGGTGGGATATTTTATCTGTCTCAGGAACTCTCAGAGTGAAAACTGCGTATGCCCATTTTTGTTTATCTAAACATTTCATTTTCCTTTTAGATCAGATCCTAATGTTATTGTGATCTTGGCTCAGAAATAAAGGTAGGCCAGCTACTCAATCCAGGGCTGCCAGGACTTCAGAGATGCCAGGGGAGGCGTTGTTCTTGTTCTTTTTTCAGACATTGTATTTTCTGTTCTCTCTTTTGTACATTTTACTCTTTTAAAATACGAATAACCATGCTACCTATGTTATGGTGGCAGTTGCTCAAAAGATGTGATAAAATGTTGGTATGGCTTGACTTTTCTCTCTCAGTCGTCAGGATCATTTCACATATTAGATTTGTTGTTCGCATGCAGCACAAAGAACACGGAGGTGTTACCTAATTTCATTAAGCCCCGTTTTTTTTTTTAATCTGTAAAGTGGGTGGATTGGAGGAAACTACAGTATATTTTAACTTCCTTCCAGCTATATAGCTCTGTATCTTTCTCTGAAGTTAATCAGGGATGTTTAAGATCCATAAAGGATCTTCAGACTACTATTAGAGTAATAGTGCAAATGTGAAATTCATGTTTTATATAGTTTTCAAAGTCAGCGCTGGTTTAGATGGGACTCGTCAGTCTTGCAGTAAATCCAGTGGAATCAGCTACACAGGGGAGCTCTTTCTGTTGTCCCTATAGACTTTCCGTAGTACACACTGCTCTACCCTCCTTGGAAGAGCCAAGATGCAGAGGCCAGGACTGTAGCTCAGTGGTGGAACACCTGGCCTGGCATGGGACAGGCCCTGGGTTTGATCCCCAGTGTAAAAAACAAAAACAAAAACAAAAAACAAAACAAAACAAAAAAACCCCAGAAAACAAAAGCAAAAACTGAGATGCATAACCCACCCAAATGCTCCAGGCTAAAAGGTGCTATAACTGGGTCTTTCTACAATTTTATTTTCTCACCAAAGTACTTTTAAAAGAGAGTAGCAATCTTGGAAATACTACACATGCACATTTAATTGGTGTGTGAACTTCTGAGTTCAAATAAGGAGCTTTTACTGAACAGTGAACAACAAAAAAAAAATCATAAAGGCTACAATTAGAGCCAGCTGCCCTGAGATAGTTCTTTTTCCTTCTTTCTTTCCTTCTTATTTTTCTGAAGATCAAAGGACACATAATAGAGGGGAATTTTGGAAGTGTGGTCAGTTCTAGCTGTCTCTCTGCCTGCCCGTCAGTGATAACAGTCATTTTGGAGTTAGTCACCTCCTAATTAAGCAGTCTTTGGAAACAGGGACCAGGACAAATCCTGAATGCACTTCTGCAGCCAGAATTTGGCAGAGACTTTGGAATTTGCGGTCTGATTTCTGCAGGAAGACCCACTGATTCTGGCACCCTGTGCCTGCTGTGTTTGTGAATTGAATTAGATCCTGTTGGGCAGGACTGGAGGTGGAGTGTCTTTGGGGCTCCCAGTCCCTCCAGCAGAACTGGTTAGTAGCAATTCTTTGGGGGTCGGGCCCTGAAGAGCTGGGGCTGTTGGTGCTCTTCTCTTCCTCAGGGGCCTCCAAATCTTTGCTTTTTCCAGAACCTTTATTCTGAGCTCTCTGCTCTCAAGTTGCCCCTGTTCTGTTTATTGATGTTTGTAAACTAATTTTAGCAACTCATCAGAAACTGCACCCAGGGTAATTGTGCACCCCTGAAACCTGGCAGACACAAGCCGTGGAATTTGCTGGAAAGAGCTGCCTAGGTCACTATTTACAGCCTCCTTTGATGGGAGCTCAGGCTCAAAGTGCTACTTTTCAATTGGAGGGGTCTTCAAGGTCTACCGTGGACCAGGGAATCCAGAAAGATCCACATTAATAAGAACGGAGAGGCTGTGAAAGTACAATTTTTATACCCGTGGGGTTATAGGTGCCTGAGCATGATTTATTAGTGTTTGAAGAATGCTCCGGCAGCTCTTATCATAGGCAGGCAAGCAGGGAGGCAGGAAGCCAGAAGAAGAAGGGCTCCTGTCACTGCGTTTTCGGTGATGCCCTTGATTATAGAGACCATTGTTTCTCCCCTTCCCTCCTCCTCCCTAGCCTACTTCCACCAGTCTCTAATTACATCCTTTAATGATCTGACCAATTAAAGCCTGCAGTTCAACTTGGAGGGGAACGGATGAGAAATTAGAGTCTGGCACGCAAACTTCAATGTGGATGCACTTCTCCCAAGGTTACACACCTCTATTAAGCCAGTCGACTATTTGAAAAGCAGCATAATGGGCGAGGCTAATAAAATAAGCGCAGGGACATTGCAGCTGCTCTCCTGTGAATGCACCAGAAGGACAAAATGTGGAAAGCAAGGTGTAGCTATGAAACCAGGGTTTAGCTTGTCTTTTTTTTTTTTTTTCCTCCCTAAAAGCACAGTTGCCAGCCGCGTTGCGTAGTTGATGTGAAATGTAATAATTGCTTTGTCAGGCTTTGGGAGAAGCGGAGAGCTTTCTTTCCACCTTCCTGCCTTTGCCTGGGAAGCAAACCACAACAGCGCGCTGGTTGCCATGGAGGTGTGGACGAGGGGGGCGCGTGGCTCTCAGATGCAGCTTTGACTCTGCTGGGAGAGCCTGGGGGATGTTTGGGAGCCTGGCAGAGCACTGGTGGTTCAAGAGGAAGTGGGCTGGGAAGAATGCTTGATGCTCTCCAGGGATTTGTGAGGGAAGAGGGAGAAAGAACGTCCTGCTGTCCATAGTTGCAGCAGAATGTGAACTTCTTATCTTGAACAATGGGTGTCATTTTGAGCCACTTCATGCCCCCTTCTCTGTGTTTCATCCACCCAAAGCTGCTCCTGGCTCTCTGAGCAACTCTTGTACTTGGGTCTTATACCTTTCCCAGTAGTTCCTTCAACCTCATGTCTATTGCCAAATCCCACTTATCCTCAGTTTGACCACATCTGTTGAGGATGTGCTATGTGACAGGGACCGCGGAAGTCAACGTGCATAAGGCACATCAGAGTCTGAGGATTGTCGCTCTGAGGTAGGAAGTGTGACCTCAGTCTAGAGGGGAGAGGGCCAGCCCTGAGTAAGTAGACCAGGATATGGTGATATGTGCATGCACTTCTCCCAAGGTTACACACATCCTCCAGTGAGGATGAAGAAGGAGAGGTGGAGCACTTCAGGTAAAGGGAATGCCATGAGCAGAGGTCCAGAATGCTCTGAAGGGCAAAGTCCAGTGGGGTATGGTAGGGACCCAGATGGGGCCGTAGAATCCGACTGCCAGGCTGCTGAGCTTGGGTTTGATCTTATCTGCAGTAGCAGCAAGTGCCAGTCCTGGCAATAATCTGCACATCTCATTGAGATGCATGAATTGTTATTACCGTTCTTTTAATTCCGTAGAAGACATAAAAAGTTTAATCTGACATCATACAACCAACCATTAGCCCGGGCTTTCAATAGCTTGATCATGGGGTTCTAGTGCTGCTGCTGGTTCTAGTGACTGAAGGATGCTCCATGGTAAAAGAGCCCTGGCCACCCTTGTTTCAGAAGGCTGCAGCTGCTGTCAGGGTGTCCTGCACACGGGAGACATTCGGTGCATATTCAGTGTACAAAAATGAGGACTCTTAAGGTTTTAAAGGAAGCCTAGAGATTCTTTGAATTCCTTTTCTGAGGAGCCTACCAAGCTTTCTGGCCTCTGCATGGACACTGCCCACAACAGAGAACTCAATGCCCTGAGGGGGCTCTAAATATCATTTTAGATAAGTTTCAAGGTGTGGAAAAGACTTGCTTTCTAAGCTGAAATTTGCTTCCCTGCCTCCATTCCTCACGCATTCACTTATCCATCAAAAGTTGTAGGCTTTGGGTCACCAGGTGAATAAGCCTTGCTCTTTGCCCCCCATCCCTCAGTTGATTTTCTCTAGGACATGATGTCTTTGTACCCTTATCTCTTAACAAACCACAAAGACCCTCTGCAAAGCATTTCTCTGGGTTGGTTTAATCTGGCATTGAAGACAATCAATGGGGAGAATCTTCCCCTGATGTCTCACTGCACACCCAAAGTTGTGTTAATTGGCACTCGGGCACCGTCTGTCATGTCTTGTTGCTTAATTAAATTCACATTTGTTTTGAGTGTTCCTTTTACTCTGCTATTTTTTATGCATGAGAGGATAAAAACAAATGAGGAAAACATTTTATAGTTAAATTAGTTTGAGGGAAACGGTCCTGAATCATAACTCTTTATTGTTCTGATGGCCTTTTATTCCAGTGTCTGTTTTCCAACAAAACCACAATGCGGTTGATGATTTCCCTGCTTTCTCTCTTCCTGACCAGGGTCTAACCTTGGCCTGGGCTGCTAATTTGTACCGGACAGCCGCCTTGCCTTCTTGAATTAGAAGTATAATAATAACAACAGGACTTTATATGCCAATAAAGATTCCCATCTCTTCAAGATATTTCACAAATCCACTGGCTCAGTACTCTTCAGACTGAGCTCAGTACTCTCCTTCATATGACCTTCCTTTCTTTTTTTCTGTCTCTGATACCATTTGGTAGTCATTTTCCTATAACTCTGAGAGCTTGAGCACAGGTCAATTTTATTTCTAATGTAAATTACATTGAATAACAAGTGTTCATTTGTCAAGTAGGTATTTGTCTCTGAATTATCAACAAGAGAAGCTATTTACAAATGAACAGGAAATCTCACCAACTTTCATAAATTTAAAGTTGTTGTATGGAACAATCTATATAAGAGTATAATCCAGAAATAAAAAAAAAACCCATTCGTATATGGTTTATCTATCAGATGGATGGTAAAGATTTCTTTTACTTAAGGGTGAGACTTGATGGAGGGATTAAAATCAGGTTTGACATTAGGTATTATAAAATCCATTTTGCAATTAATAAGTACTTACTTGCATTAACAGCTATCCCATAGGCAACCAGTTTGTGGAATTTGAGGTTTTTGTCTAATTGCCTCCTCCAGGGTCCTTTGCAGCACTAGATAAAAACAAATAAGTAAAAGCCCAATTCAGGGGAAGGTCCCAGTGACAACCTTGTCTTAAGAGTTAAGAGAGCAGGACTCAGTTCTGCTGCTAAATTTCTCAGGGTGAGACTACAGGATGTGAAAGTTAGCAGCAATTAGTCATACAGCAAAACAAAAGATTATTATTTGCTTTCTTGAAATTTCAACTCAATAAAAATTATTGAGTTGGTAGTTTTCTGGCTATAATTAACAACTCTCAAATAAGGGTTCTCTATGCATGCTTGAATGCAATTTCTTTATTTAGAAACTGGAGGTGATGGCCTTCCTCCTCATCCATGGGGTTTAAGTAATCTATAAATTATTCCTCACTATGCAGAAGGGCACTATATTCATGTATATCCAATATTCATAAAATGATTACGAAAATAAATTGATCATGATGTAAAGGTTATCAAAGGCCTCATTTTCCGTATGTTATTCTGTTTCAGATGGAACACAGTGAAGGTACTCAGTGCAATGACACTACTGTAATTAGGAAATATCCCGATATGCCAGGGAGATGTTAAAATCTACGTACTGAGATTCATGTACCATGATTGTGTTTGGGTGAGAACTCAAATGTCTCCTGGGTGGCTTATCTCAACTGTATATTTGTCCTCTTTCAGTCAGAAATGGTACCAGCCCAAGCTGTTGTAATGCTTCCATCTCCACGGAGCAAATGTACCCACAAGAGGTGGAGCTGCGAAGGAGGCCAATGGCAAAAGCCAAAGCCACATGAAACTGGTTTTCAGCTTTACCTCTTCTTTCCTCTCGTGCAGAGAAACAAACCTAAGCTTAAGGAGGATTCCTGGGTATGGCTAAGTACATGTTTGTCTTCAGTAGCCTTATGTTAGTTAAGTTGTAACAACTTAGATGATTTCAAATATTTTAGTACTTACGGTGCTTGCTCCTCTCATGAATGAAATCAGGTTCCGACTGACAGGTAACAGAATTAGCATGCAGTTAAAATTCAGACACAGTGCCGATGCTCGTGCCCACGCCAGAGTCGACTGTCCATAGGTGAAGACACAAAAAAGATACCGTGAAGACGAGGGAGACTGGGACAACAGATGCTCTCTGGAACAGTAATGCCTAGGGCCAACTCTACTTACGCCCAGCATTGCTCGGGTGTAGTGGAAAGACTCCTCCTCTTCATACCAAAGGAAAGTATCGATAAACAGATATAAATTCACTCCCAGCCATAAGACCTAGAGTTGAACGAAAAGAGAACCCATCAATGCTATCTTCAACCTTTCCTCCACTTAGAATTACTAATTCTTTTGAAATGTAACAAAGAGCATCTCCATATTAATCAGAATTGCTCCACGTATTTATTTCTCACAGGTCAGTTTTTTGCAGAGATCACAATGATAAAGAATGATGAACTTGGGTTTTAGACACCTAGGTCAACCTCCAGTAATTTAACGAAAACTACAAAACCTTCTTAGTCAACACGGCTTGGCAGACAACAAGGAGGAAATCTTTTAAGGTGCTCTAGAAACATTCCAATTTCATAGACTAATTCAAAGACTTCACTTGATTTAGAGAAACCCTCATACATTATGCGAAAACAAACCACTTGACTTTAAAAATAATTAAAAATGAACTCAGTCGGAAAACAACTTTGCACGATTCTATAAGGATAAATTAAATACATCTGCTGAATTTTTTCTAGCAAGTTTTAGTCTTTTTAACTGAAGTAATGTTTCAAGACTTCTAAAGTCTCTAGAAGTCCTCCCAACAATCAGTCTCTTGAGTATGTACATTTAAGGCAAACTGACAAAAAAATGACACTTACTACTATCGTGATGGACAGACTCTCATTCAAAATCCAGCAGCCCCTCATGGCCATTTTCCTCTTTGCCATTAGCCGGTGATTCCTTGCAGTCACCTGAGCCTGGATGTGTGTGCTGAAGAGGGTCACCCTTCTCAATCACTTTGCCTTTTTGTCTTGGGAAGCACCTACTGGATTCAAGGAATTTCTAATTAAGGACTGCCTGCCACAGGCAATCAGCACGCTGACATGCCTCCTGACCTGGGTAAATACAAGGCGGGTCTCTGTCTAGTGATTCCTTTCTTCAGAGATTTCATAAGAAAAGAAAGCTTGTTTTATTAAATTGTCCTCTTGTACTTTATACCCCATTCATTTTCTACACGATTGCAGTCTCGATGGCAATAAGTCCACATGTAAAACTGGGAAATAGCGCGGGGGCTGCAGGCGGCACGCAGGGGAACGCTTTGACGTAGCTTCCTCTACTTTGTTTTTACTTCTTTGCTTCTTCCCCCCTCTTTCCAAAAAGGTCTCCAGAGAAGATATGGAGTGGGGGCTAAATATGATCAAATGGTGGAATATGGTGGGGAAAGAAGATTCTAAGAAAAATCACAGATAGGAAAAGTCTTACAAATCTAAAAGTGTGATTATTATTAAAAAATGAGCTTTTTATGGGGGTGGGGTGGGGTGATTGATGGAATAGAACCCATTCCCTGCCCCCCCCCCCCAAGCCGACTTAGTGCACAGGGAGGCAAGTGAGACTATCTTCTCATACTTGGACAATACCTGAAGTCGCTGCATTTGAGCCTGATCATTCTCTGATTTTGTGTTGTCAAAGTTATTATAATACAATGATTATGTGTCTATTCTGGTAGGCAGAGTTATCCCAGTTGAAGCAATTCTCTGGCTAGTTCTGGCTCAAGTGTTTCATTTAAAAATTTCAGATAATTAAGATGAAAATAGGAGATTTGTATCATTGGGATAATTGCCAAAGCTTTCTGTGTTTTCCTAGGGTAGATCAATTTCATTGTCCTAAAATAATTATTTTTTTTAAATTGTAAATCTTGTAAGGACAGTCACTGTGAATAATTTTGACCCGTATGTATACTAGCACTTAGTTAAGAACTTTTCAAGTTTTGTCTAATTAAATCATCCATTGCCTCTAGCAGGTAGACAGTATGAGCCCCATTACACTAATGTAGAAAGAAGCTCCAATGAAACCACTTGCTGAAGGAGTGATGCGCTTGAATTCAATTCTCTCCGATTCTAGCTTTTTAAATTTTGTCCATTACCTTTTAATGCTTTATTTATAAACTCCTAGTATATGGATCTGTGCATAAAAGCTACCTAATAGATACACATTGCAGTCCTATAAATCAGAAGTAATGTAAGTTGTAGGAATTCATTTAATTTACAAATTTTGAATATGTTGTCATGTGTGATGAAGTTATTTCTATATAATGCAGTGAATGATCGAACAGTAAACATAAGTCATCTTATTACTCATATATTTTTTATCCTACATTTTGTGAGGCTTTGATATCTTGGAGCCTGCAGTGGTTGGAATGAGTCCCCAAACTTGTTGCCAACTTGATCCTCAGTGGGACGGTGTTGGGAGGTGGGGACTAATGCAAGGTAATGAGGTCAGGATCCGTTAATGGATTGATGCCATTATTATGAGTGTGTGTTCCATATAAAAGGAAAAGTCAGGCCCTCATTTTGCACTCTCTCTCTCTCTCACCCTCTCTTTGCCCTTCCACCATGGCTGGAAGTTAACAGTTAGTCAATTCCAAGCTACTTGCCTGTGAACACTCCTTTAAAATCCAAAGTAACCAATACAATGCAGTGTTCATACCTCCCAGCCACCTCCTTTATCAGATGCTCACACACCAAGCTAACTTTTTCTCTCTCCTCAGTCATCCCAGGTCAGGTACTGGTGACAGCTAGCTGGTGACCACCTATTGCTCAGAGCCTCCTGCAGTTATTCAAACTATCCAATCCTAGGCCCACTCCAATGCTGATAACACCTTGCTCCTTCTTCCTGTGGAAATCACAATAAAACTTTGGGTCCATAGTTTCTCTTTGATTCTTCTAATTCCTGATCAGTCTGGTGCTTTCCTACATGGCCCTGAGTGACATGGGGTGGCCCTACTCTTGGGACTAATAAGTAATAAACACTTCTTTCAAAGTAGATGTCTTTATGTCTGTTGTCTTACCACACCTGAGTATAAGTCCCAGATACCTTTATGGGGGTTAGGGATTGAACTCGGGGGTGCTTGACCTCTGAGCCACATCCCCTGCCCTATTTTGTATTTTATTTAGAGACAGGGTCTCACTAAGTTGCTTAGGGCCTCACTATTGCTGAGGCTGGCTTTGAACTCATGATCCTCCTGCCTTAGCCTCCAGAGTCACTGGGATTATAGGTATGCACCACTGTGCTCGGCCGGTTACATTTTGAAACATCTTTATCTCTAAACATGGAGAGATTTAGAATCACAGTTTGAACATTTTGATGAAGAAGTGAACTTTCTCCTTGCCATCCAGCCCTGACTATGAGTTACTATTTTGAGCCTCAGTTTCTGCATTATTTAATGGTATTAATTATAATGCCTACCTCCTATAGTCAATGTTACTGCTTCTTTACCTGTGCATACACACACATACACAAAAACATACCAAAACCACAGGTAAGCAAGATGGTGCTTCTTTTGGAGAAGTCATAGGTTTCATAGTAAAAAATGTTATAGATTTATTTATCCTTAGAAAAAGGCATTATGTTTTAAGATTTTCCCCTCTAGAAATGTATAAAAGCACAGGTATTTTGGCAGCATTCACTTGAGATAAGAGTGCAGTTAGTGAAATATCTTCAGTAGTTTCTTTAACAACAAGCAATATGAAGATGTGGTCTTTATATTGAATTCTTTAAGCCAATAATCTTCTATGATGAAATGATTTGTTATTTCTGAAGTGTTTAGGATTTACATATCTTAGAAGCCTTCTTCAATTGAGTTATAAAAGTCAATTCAGAGAGAACACATCCAGAATTTTATAATATCTTCTATTTTCGATTCAATGAGTGTGAAGAAGAGTTAAAATTTCCCAGCCTTCTGTACACTATTATAAATGAGAGACATATATTGATCTTCTTGGTTTGGATCCCTAATGTCCCCCAAAAGCTATGTGTTAAAGGCTTGTTTGCCAGACTATGGCACTAGGAGGTGGGGATCTAGTGGAAAGAAGTTAGATCCCTGGAGCCAGGCCCTTGAAGGGGATATTGGGACTCTAGCCTCTTCCTCTCTGTCTTTTTACTTCCTGGCCAGTACAGGTGAACAGACCTCTGTACATGCTCCCCGCCATGATGTTCTGCCTCACCACTGGCTCAAAGACTTGGTGCTAAGAGATCATGGACTGTTAAAACCTCTGAAATCATGGGCTAGAAGAAGCATTTCTTGGTTCTAAGTTGTTTATTGTAGGTATTTTGTCACAGCAACAGTAAGCTAACACATGCTGAGGAATAATGTATAATCACTGTTTTGTTAGTTGCTTAAGATATTTCTAGTACTACAGCAAAAATACTACTTAAAAGTTTTTGTTTAAAATTTGATCTTTATATGCTTCATCCTTATTCCTAAAATGTGATTTGTTGATTCCTCATTTTGAATATGTAAAGAACATCATGTTTTAGTGTAACTACTATTTACTTATAGAATACAACATTTCTTAATGGTTGTATTATGAAAATATGACTCATGATTTAGCTTGAATATTTTCTTCATAAATTTTATTTTTGTAGAACTTGGAATGATTTTTAGCTGACTCATATCAAAGAATCATAAGTAAATTTTAAATTATGTTCAAATTCATTCAGGGCTCAGTAATTTTGCATACCAAAGTCCAATTCAGTCTAACCTTCAGGGTCCTTTATGAAAACACTCAATTTTCACAAAGGAGACATTGGGTTACTCTTATTATTTGTTAACCTACCTGGTAAAAATTTGAGGGGTGCGTATCATGCCTGAAAGGGCTGCCTCCGTTTTTACTTTGTTGAAGGAATCTATATAGATGCAGATTACAAGTTAAATAAAGACTGAACATTTTCAAAGAACCAGGGACAGATTAAAGGGGCTACTTTAAGCAGGAAGGAAATTGTGCAAAATCTCTGAAATGATATAAACGCTTAGCATTTGATCTATTTTTTTCTAATTATTTTCATCACTAATAGGCGGTGCCTCTCCCATGTTTCAGAATTGTCTCAGAAGAAGTGAAATTTGCCTTGTTTGCAAGGTGGTGCTTTCTCTGATTGAATGGGTTTACTGGTTGGCTCTCCCAGCCCACCACAAAAGAGGAGGGGGATTTTGTTCTCCTAAAGCTCACCAATAGCAATTCTTCATAGTGGAGGGAGTCAAGGGGGATAGAGCAAATGTTTGCAAAGGCAGGTTAATTGCTCTTATGTTTGAATGCAGACTGTCCTAACCTTGCTGGATTTCTGGACTGGATTCATTCTATTACATTTTTAGTTTTTTTTTTTTTAGTTTCTTAGTTGATCAGTTGACCCAACAAAGAAACACTTTGATCTTCAAGGGCAAGATTGATCACCTCGTAGCTTCTGCTGCTGCATACTAAAATCTAGGTTCCCTATAGATACAGCAGCGTTCATAGAGTATAAAAATAGCATTGCCAAATGAGCTTCTTCTAAGCATTAAACATGTTCTTGCCTTTTCCTAAAAGCATATATAAACATTTAAGCGTTAAGGTGAAAAGAGATGAAAAAATAAAGAAAAAAATTGCTCACACATGTAATTCCCAATACTTACATGATTATTTTGAGAAGCATTTATTGTGACAATTATGTAATTATGTTGAATAAATCATGTTGCATGAATTCCATCTTAAAGGAAAAGCAGAATAAAAGAAAAAAGTGAAGAAAGCATACATATGAAAATAGCTGAGTTTAAAATAAATCTAATTAAATCTATGACTAATAACCTAACTTTTGTCAATTTAAGTGTACTGTGTATTTATTTTAGCAAGTATGTTTTTTATAATACCTCTTTTAAATGGCTTGTATCACAAACA